ATTACTAACTTATTTAATATTCAGTACACATGCACGAAGTGTAAAACGAGAAGGGCATAACCCTATGAAAAAAGAAAACACGCAAAAATCGCGGTTGTTGCGGTTCTTGCATTCCTCTGCGGTTTGCTTGTCAATAGCGCGGTATTGCGATATTGAGGTTATCGCGACAGCCCTACTCCTGTACGCCACCGCAATGGTCTTTACCTTGATTGCAGTCGTCATCCATCAAAACTTTACTAGCGAGACTGGTTATCAAGTCGAGAAACCGTAGTTTGCGTCTCATCTGGCCATACAGCAGTGGGATGTGTTGACAACCCATTCAGCCTGTACTTCACACAGCGCGACGTGTTGGGGCTCGCTCTCTTCAGAGACAATCACAGAATATGACAGAGCTCGTGTTTTAAAGCGAAACACACTGGAATGAATAATTAACTTAAAACGCAACGCGGGTCTCTGTTCTCTCTGCAATCTCTGATGTAATCAGCCTGGTTTCCTTTATATTTATTATATTTTTATTATATATAACTTTATATTCCTTTATATTCGCTTACTGGATCAGTGGACTGAAAACTTTCCCGGAGTTTAGCGGCTTAAAATGATCTAATCGCAAGCAAAGAAGCAAAATTGGGTTAAAGGGTTAGAATAGAAATTGTGCTTCAGTAATTTTGGAGTTAATTGCGTTAAATTATTTTAACGCGTTAAGGATTGTAAAATTAATCGCATGCGTTAACGCATTAACGATGACAGCCCTAATAATTATATAATGTTGTATTTGTTTACCCACCCTCTTGACAATAAACAGATTACAGGAAAAATATTAAATAGCCCACCTACATCCTGGAACCGTGCCGAATGAAATTCGCAGAATACAGACCCTCAGGAGGGTGACCAGAACGCTTTCATCATAGTGACTGAAAGATTTCAATTGGGCCTAGCGTGGCAGCTCAGCATATTAAGTGTTCCAGGAACAAGAATGGTGCAACACATTATTGTAGTAGCTTGTTCTTTTTAAGTTACATAATCTGATTATATTTCAGATGTGAGATAAACAGCAGGGTTACGCAAGGTAATAAGGATAAAGACAAGTGTGTGGTGGACACAAGATTACAAGATTAAAAGCAGTGAGCTGGCAAATGTGCAAGTGTGTGTGAGAGACCCTCAAGAGGTGTCTCTGAAAAATTGATAAAATGACCCAAATTAATGCTCGAAGCACTGAATAATTTAAAGGCTTAAGAGTAGAGTACATCATTTGGCACTAGAGGAATGATCTGTCTCTGCAGGAGCTCATTGTGAAGGAAAACGATAAATCAATCTCATCACTTGTACACCTGCAAAGGAAACCTTTTCAAACGCATTCTGGACTTTATTCACATTCAACGCGATTGTATAACCAGATCATTAAATAAACACACAGCATTATCCTGTAACATTCAGTGCAGAGAGTAGGAGGAGGGTGCTGTAATGTCATCTATGCTATAACAGTCACTCCCTCTCTCTCTCTTTCCTGCAGTCACAACAGTATGTTCAACAGAAACAAAGGAGCACCTTTATGAGATCACATGTCATCCAAACCCTCTCATTAAAGCAGAGAGGACCAGTGACCTGGTAGCCATAGTGATGCAGCTTGTCATTTTTGCACCTGTACTTGGCCATTCCAGCCTTTTGTGTTTGGATAGGACATCTTAGGCCTACTTATCTTTTGTTGCTCTTTCAGGTTTCTTAATTTAATTTTTTCAACTTTAATCCTAATTAGCATGGAAACCGGCCTTTCTTGCAGGTTTTGCAATAATTTACCGTTAAATGCAAATGTTGACAATACCTGAAATACTTCAGAGGGTCGAGGTGGGTCTCATTGCTTATGTTTTCATCTTTCAAGTATCTGTTTTTCAAGTATCAAGTATCTATCCATCAAGAACGGGTTTAAGTGAAGTGGTTTTATCAGAATGTTGAGATATTGAGATGACCAAGTAGGTCAAAAAAAAAATAAAAAAATAAATAAATAAACATTTGCACAAATTAATTGTTTAAAATAGTACATTTCCATTTCATTCAAACTTCAACTTTGGAACTTTTGAACTAAATTCAGTGTCAATTCTTTAAATGATGCAAAACACGTTTGTATGCGTATATATACTGTACATGTATCATGCATTATGTACATGCAAGTTTTACTTAAATGCTAATTGCAGGAGTGTTTATCTGAGGTTGTGTTACAACCGACCCACACTCTGTACACACAGATCTGCTCCGAGTTGTCATATTTAGAGCTCAAGGTGACACAGTAGCCAAGTTCAGTGGAACACATTTAAACATTTTTACACATATCAGAAATGGCAGCAGGCACTGGACTACTGGTTGTAACAGAGTCCAGGGGGAGGTGTTTTTATTTGTGTGTACTCATGCTAGAATTGTGGTTATAATGGTATTTGATCATAAAACATGTTTGACTGACAGGTAATGTTTTGCATAGCAGTTTGAGAAATATGATCATGCACACACACGGTCCTGAATGCTAGACGAGTCAGTGTGCAAACAGTTCCATGCTGTGCTAGAGTCCACATAGTTTGCCGTTGCCACAGACCCGGCAGTAACTCTCCTTTCACTATTGTAATTCATGGCTATTTACGGCCAATGGGACGGGCGAGCTGGGCCTCCTGCCGCAAACTCAGCCCTTGACCTTGCACTAACAACCCCACCATACACCCCCTCCCCCAACTCGCCCTGGCTCTGTAAGTGAAAGGCCCATATGTCTTGTGCTGGCTCCTGCCCATGGCCATGACATTCCCTTTGAAGGCAGTCCTGCCTGCTGACTGCTAAGGAGAAACTTGTGCCATTCTGAGTTGTTACACAATTCCTAACGTCATTCAACACCTACATAAACAGCCTGGGCAGCTTCTAGAGTGGGTACATTTACCGTGCCAAGTTTTATGTAAGCTGTACTGCGTGGATATGAACAAAGGCATTTGGATGCATGGACATTTATTAGGCTTGGCTCTGAGGATATATTATTTATGGCTTTTAAACATTATCACAAGACAAAGTCCATCTAAACTAACTTTAACAAATTGTTTTGCTACACAAATTTTCCATACTGATCATGCCTAATTTGCCAGCATAATGCTGGTATTCAAATAGTTTGTTTATAGGAGACGTCACTGCACCATTGAGTCACCCTCGAAACCTTTCCAGTTTCAGTTTTCTGTGCGTGAGTAAGCGTGGCCAAACATGCCAGAACATGTGTTTCTGGTTGTGATGCAGAATGAGATCGCACATGGAATAAAAGAGACACTTGCGCACCTTATGACACGCATTCTCTAGCACAGTGGATCTCAACCTTGTTCCTGAAGGGGCCCTCCAACAGTACACATGCTGGATGTCTGCTTAAAGGGATAGTCCACCCAAAAATTACTTTGCCACATGTCATTCTAAACCTGCATGACTTTCTCTCTTCTGTAAAACACAAAAGAAGATATCTTAATGAGTGTAGGCAACCAAACAGTTTGGGGTCCCATTGGTTTCCATAATACAGACTAAAAAATTACTATTGAAGTCAATGGGACCCAAATCTGTTTGGTTACCAACATTCTGCAAAATATCTTCTTTTTTTGTTCTACAGAGGAAAGAAAGTTTGGTTTGGAATGACATGAGGGTGAGTAAATGATGACAGAATGTCCCTTCATACCTGATTAAACTCATCAGCTTATTAGCAGAGACATCCAGAATGTGTAGTGTCTGGTGGCCTACAGGAACACAGTTGGGAGGCACTGCTTGAGTGGAGTGCTTACCTTCCAACCAGCTGAGCTGTTTGTGTCGCCTTTGTCTTTAAAGTATGGGACGCTTCTGACCATCCAGTCATAGATCTGGGACAATGTCAGTCTCTTGTCTGGGGTGCTCTCTATGGCTTTTGTGATAAGGTCTGCGTAGGACAGGTTGCCCCATGCGTTCCTCCTTGAAGATGACTTCCGGGGAGTTTGCTGTTGGCTGCCCTGACCGCTCGCCTCCGGACTCGCCGTGGTTGCAGAAGTGGGGTGAGAAGAAAGCGGGGAGCCTGTGTTCTCCTGACCGCTAGCGGGTTGCAGTTCCTCAGCCAGGCTTGGGCTGCCATTGTCCTCTCCTTCACCCACGCTGTTGGCGTTGATTGCCATCGCATTGTCATCCTCATCATCCTCTTCCTCTGGGATTATGTCAGTGTCATTGGATGCAGGCTTCGCCGAGCTGGACTCTGGCAGTGGCCAAGTGCATGATCTTGGCCGTTTCTGTGGCTCAAAATCCGGATCGATGGCTACGTCCAGAGAGGACAGTGGCTCCAGGGTTGTCTCTGCCATCACCTCTACCAGCCTTCTCTGACGCTCCTCTGTATTGTCTTGGTCAAAGTTAAATAGGCAGTGGGAAGCGGTCACAGTCGCATTCCATGAATGCACCTCTACTCTAAATGGTGCTTAAATGCTTCTTGAGCGACTAGTACAAATTTTTATGATAATTAACACCCCTCCCTGTGTTTCAGAAAGACAAAAATACAATATACAATTTAAAGCCATATGACATAAAATACATCATAATCATTTATATACAACTGTGCAGTATATACATACACATACACATACACATTACATTACAGAGAGAGAGAGATTATTATGCACTTTAAATTTAACATTTTGCCATCAAAATAAGATAATTTTAAGCTACTATTTCAAAAACCATTAAACGTTCAATTAAACGTATTCTTTTTCGATGTGTCTGATGAACCAGTGAAAATTGAACGCTTCTGGAAATGTGGGGTACGCGCGCACGCGTTGGTCCGCGCAACACTCACGTGAAGATATAAACAAAGATTAGCGTGTATACTGTATGCAAAGTGCTCCGCTTTCATTTCAGTTTAACACTTGCTTGATGGCACATATTCTTGCTCGTTACACTTTCATAATGACACATCCTGACTCATATCATGAGTATCCCAGTGGAGATGACCGCACGAATGAGATATTAAAACCACTGTTATTGTGAAAGTGAAACATTTAGGACACAGATGTATTGCTATTCCATAACAATATTCAATATTAGTCAATATTATTAATATGATGGTTGGCTGGATTCCGAAAAACAGCCTCAATGCAAAGGGGACCAATAAGAGAAACATTTTAAAAATATGTCATGTTTAAAATTACATTATTCATACGAGTCTACAAGTATTTGCAACGTTTTCAAAGCCTAATTAGCATAATTCCAAACAAAATATCAGTAAATTACTTAAGGTGTATTTACACAAACTGCGCACGTAAATAGCAACTGTCAACCAGCACTACTGTTGTACCTAATGTAAATAACAACAATGAATAAAATGTGTGTGTGTGTGTGTGTGTGTG